TCACCAAATGGAGAAGACAAAAGAAACAGAATACCATCAAAAACAATACTTACACTATCAGAACATCAATTAGAAGTCTTAAATAACCCAATTTCAGAAAAGGAAATAGAATTAGCTGGAAAGGAACTATCAAAGAAAAAAACTCCTGGTCCTGATGGAGTAACAGGAAAAGTGCATTAACCTCAAATCTTTCCCTAATATATCAATCAGGTTGGAACAAATTCACATTTTCAAAACAATCATTACAACAAAACTGATTATATATTCAATAAACTCCTGCATTCCCGAGCAACCATAAGGACTCTACTTAATAAACAGGATTCTAGTTAAAGAATGTTTTATAATCTCTTCAGTGGAGCTCAATCATACACTCTCTTGTATTGGAGTTCTGCGTTCATATTTTATGTTAGCAATTAGTTCCCCAAGGATACTTAAGTTCTTTATCTCTCTCCTTATCTTTTATACAGTAAAAGAAACAGAGCAGTAAAGCTGGGGGCAGTGCTAGTGGTATTTTTCCTCAAAAGGCTCTCATTTTATCTCATTCCTGTGGCAGCATCCGTTTGTTTTGTATTGGCCTGTGGAGATAATGTTATCTTCATTTATACAGCAATATGTATATATTGAATCCTAGTTTCAGATATGGGGAACTTTACCCAGATCTTCCAGAATTTTCTAGCCTACTTACTAGAATAAATGGTGGTGGCACCATTAATTCATTCAACAAGCATTTATACACCAAACTTCCAAGGCTAGTGTCTATCATTCTTCAGGACATTCCCCTGTCTTTACTCAATGAATTCAGTGCCAGGTTCACAGTCTTTTATCAATCCTCCTCAACTCCTGTTCTTCAATATACTTAAACATACACATTGAAGGGGGAACTTCAATATACATATCGATACACCCTTAAGTACCCTAACCTCATAGTCACATGTAATGACACTCCCTCATACACCCTAACCTCACTGCTGTCTCACCCCTCCTCCCCCCCATATCAAATCTGTTGCCAAGATCTACTGATTTTACCTTCAGACCATCTCTCATAAACTAACCCTTCTCACCTCTGACAGTGCCACCATCTTGGTGCAGGCCCTTAACAAACTCATACTTGCACTTTATAAGACTGGAATAGCTTGGTGTTGGTCTACAAGTCTCTCTCTACTCAGCTGTCAAAGTGGTCTTCCTAAAGCACACGTCTGACCACATCACCCTCCCTACTCAAAAATTCTAGTGGCTTCCTTCAGGATAAAAAATAAAATCCTCTGTTTGGCATTGAAAGCTCTTTATAACCTGCCTCACCCCTCATATTTCTAGTTTTCTTACACCTTACATCACTCCTCTCCCCCAACTCCTCTCTCTACTCTCTGATCCTGTGACACCAGCCTCTCTGTCTGTTTCATGAACAAGACACTCATCTCCTGACTCCAGGCACTTTCCTGCTGTCCCTCATTCCTGGAATGCTCTCCCTCCTGATGTCTGCCTCCTGCCTTATCTAGATCCCTTCAAGTCCTAGCTAAAATTCTACTTTCTAGAGGAAGCCTTTATGGATTCTCCCTTAATTCTAGTACCTTCCTTTTGTTGATTATTTCAAATTTATCCTATATATAACTAGTTTGTATATAGTTGTTTGCATGTTGCCTCTCCTATTAGACTGGGAAGGCCTTGAGAGTAGGGGTTGTCTTTGCCTTTCTTTGTATCTCTAGAGCTGGCCCAGTGCCTGGCACACAATAGGTACTTGATAAATGTTTGACTGACTGACTTTTACATCAGTGAAAGCTCTATCGTTAGTAATTTTTTAAAAATTATTATTATTTATTTATTTTTGGCTAGGCAGTGGAGTTAAGTGACTTACCTAGGGTCACACAGCCAGTAAATATGTGTTTGAGGCCGAATTTGAACCCAAGTCCTCCTGAATCCAGGGCCAGTGCTCTATCCTCTGTTGACACCTAGCTGCCCCTTGAAAGCTCTATCTTTCAGTTTGCATTTAGGAAGCTGAGGATCAGAATATGAATATCACCTATCAAGACAACTGTGAAGCCAACAGCTAAAGGTGTTGATTTTCAATTAAGTACTTTATCTCTCAGGTCACATTTATCCTTTTTCAGACCAAGTTTTCCACAATATTAAACAAGGATGATAATTCTAAACTAGCTCCACTTGTTTGTAGAGAGGGGAAAATATAACATCTCATGAAAATAAAGTAATAAAAAAAAGATTTTAAAATATGGGTCTCAAATACAAAAAGCTCCATTTCATCCCTTTCTTAGGTGGTCTCATACCCCTCTGCTGCAGTGCCTTACCATATCAGTATCTGAGCACAGAAACCAGCTTGGCTTTAGCCCTGTTGGAGCTCAGAATCCACAAGCTCCAATAGAGATCATGCACCCCACAAACCTCAGCCTATCTGGTAGCAGGGATTGCAGGAATGCATCACCACAGAAGGTACCTTTCTTATTATTTTTACTGTTATTAGTTAGTCTGGCATTACAGAAAGAACACTGGCATTGGAAGTATTAGAACTAGGCTAAAATCCCAGCTCAATTATTTGCTACTTTTTTCTCATGAGCCTCTGCTCCTTTATCCTATCAAAGATTTTGTTCTGCTAAACCCTAGCCTTGTATCACTCCTACTATTCACAGCCTTTGCTAGTTGCTGAACAAAACTGGAGAAAAATCACAAAACTTTGCAGACTGGGTCTACTACAGGTTTATGTTCAATAACTTCCACTGGGCCCTCACTGTGTAAAGGCAATCCTTTTATACTTCTCTAACTGATTCACTATCCCATTCCTACAATAGCTGGGGGGGGGGGCAATTGGGGTTAAGTGACTTGCCCAGAGTCACACAGCTATCGAGTGATGTGTGTCTGAGACTGGATTTGAATTCAGGTCCTCCTGACTCCAGGGCTAGTGCTCTATCCACTGGGCCACCTAGCTGCCCCCATATTTAATAGTTTTTACAAACCTTTTCATACTTCCTCAAACCTCTCCCTCTACCCACCCTTTCAATCTAGCCTCATATTTCACTGAAAAAACTGAAACTATTCACAGAGAGCTCCCTCTTCTCCCCCAAACCTCATCTTGTATCACTCAGATGCTTTCTCCCACTATCTCCTTCTTCTCTTTTTCACGTGAAGAGTTCTTGACAACACAAATCCATCTAAATGCACAGGTGATTCCCTTCCATTCCACTTCTCCAGCTGATGCCCCCTCTAATATCTCTCTCATTTATCATGAATCTCTCCCTGTCGAGGAGAAATTGGTTGCCTCCCTACTGCCTACAAACATGACCGTGTCTCCCCAGTCTTCAAAAAACTCTCCCTTGATCTGTGTCCATCCCCACTAGCTATCATCCTATATCCTTCTTGTCCTTGTAGATAAACTCCTTGAGAAGGCCATCAACAGTAAGGGCCTCTACTTCCTTCTGTCTCACTCTTTAAACTGACACAGAGTGAGGAGATCAGACCTGAGAAAATTTATAAAATAATATAAATATGATATAAAAACACAAAGGAAAAAACTTTGAAAGACTTGAGAACTGAAAAAATGAAATGGCAAACCATGATTCCAGAGGACCAAAGAAGTATGCTACCTACCTTCGGACAAAATGCGATGGACTTAAAACGTAGAAGAAGATATGTTTTTGGACATGGTCAATGTGGCAATTTGTTTTGCTTGACTATACTTATTTTTATAGATCAATGGGGGGGAATGATAAATGCTTGTTTGTATGTATGAGTTAATATTTATCATTTTTTAAATAAGGCTGAATATTTACGGAACTGGTAAGGTTCTAGGTTTTTCCTCATGCTGTTTGGCATGGGGTGGGAAATTAGAGGGGAAATAGGCAGCTCAGTTAAGATGAATATATAGCAAGGAGCATCTAGCTGCCTTCCTATGCTTACATTGCTAAAGTTGTCTGGTGTATCCCTTACTTCCTCAAAGCATTTGAAATAATTCTGCTACCAGTTCCTTAAATTTCAAAGTGAATTTGTTTGGTATAGTCAACCACCTGCCAGAAAGGTGGTTTTTTTTGTTTGTCTGTTTTTCAGCAATCTGCCAAGTTTGATCATGTATTACCATTTTATAGAAATTTAATTAAACCTAGAAAGGTACATTACTGAATTACTGATGGAAGCAGGAAGCTAGAGGATGAATAAGAGAACTAAGATTTCTACCATGATTTATAAGAAGGCTTTTCCACTTTGTTCACTTTCTATACTATTTCTATATCTAAATATTTCTATATACATATACAGGCAGCTAGATGGTGCAGTGGATAGAGTGCCAGGTCTGAAATCAGGAAGGTTCATCTTCCTGAGTTCAAATTTGGCCTTAGACACTTACTAGTCGTGCGACCCTGGGGCAAGTCACTTAACCCTGTTTGCTTCAGTTCCTCTTCTGGAAAATGAGCTGGAGAAGGAAATAGTAAACCATTCCAGTTCCTTGGCCAAGAAAATCCCAAGAAAGATATAGAATGACAGCCAGTGGGGATGGACAGATCAAGTTAGATTGTATTGAGGACTGGGGAGACCATGGGCATGTTTGTAGGCAGTAGAGAAGCAACCAATTTCTCCAGGGAAAGACTGACGATGAGAGGCAGAGATGGTAGAAAGGGGCATCAGCTGGAGAAGACGGAATGGAAAGGAATCACTTGTGCATTTAGCCTATCCTAATTCCCTGAGTATCTGGTTAAAACAAGGTGCAACAAGGATAACATATATGTGTGTGTGTTCATACGCATACGTTAAGTACACACATACATAAAAGTGATTAACGAAGTTATGGCTCCCACTTTAATTAAGTTCCCCCACAGTGATAATGCATAATGGAAATTAGCAGAGAGGGCTGTGCGAAGACTGGAGAATGGGCTTTCCTTTCCAGCCCCATCCCTTCTCATCTCCGTCTCGTCCTCTTAGCCCGCGGACCCACAGCGAGCGAACGGGGCTTCCCGGGGGGCTTCCCGGCGGGGGCGGCAGGGAAAGGGAGGGAGAGTACCTACTGCGTGGTTTCGGAAGCTGCAGTCTGGGCTCCCTTCCGGCCATCGAGGGAGGAAGGAAGGTTAAAAAAAAAGGACGAGAACTCAAAGATGGGGGAAATGAGCATAAGCCAGTCCTGGAACACTCAGACGCGTGCAGGCGGGGCTGCAGCCACCTTTGCACGCGCAACTCCCAAGCTAAAGCGCTCACCTTGGCCTTCTGGTTTCAAAGTCGTCCAGTGGTTTTGCTTCCTTGTTCCCAGAGCAGCTTGCGGACTCTCTGGTTGCTGCCCCTAGTGGTCACATATAGGAAATGAAGTATTCTTGGACCCAAGTCTGGAGAGGACAAAAAACAAAAAACAAAAAACGTCAACCTTTGAGGTTTGCGAGATGGAAGGGCCTTGAGAGATTATCTTTTCTGTTCATTTTACAGATGAGGAAATTGAGGCCCAGAGAGATGAAGTGGCTGGGTCAGGGCCATGCAAATAAATAAAAGGCAGAGCTGGCATTTGAATCTAGGTTCTCTAGTGTTATTTGCACTACAGGCTGCCTCCCCTTCCTGGGATTTCAGTTCTTCCCATTATTTACCTGTCATTGCTTGAGCTGGCAAAGCCTCTCACATCTCCTTACAGTTATTTCTTTCCTCTCTTATTGCCCATGGTTTAGATTTCAGATTTTTCACTGAAGATGGAAAAACCTAAGACCAAACCAAAATTATAACACTGAGCAATAAACAGTGATATCTTTCTGTTTTGAATATTTAGAGATCATCTTGCCTTGTTTGAGATTATGCTGGCTTAGAATGTAAGGACAGATACTAAGCAAACAAGGTATAGAAGGTGGAGCACAGGTCTTTGAGGCAGAAGACCTGGATTTGAGTCCCACTTCATAGTTATTTTGAGGATCAAATGAGATAATTACATAAGGCTCTTGATAATATATAAAGCTGTTTGCTAACCTTGAAGTGCTAAATGCTAACTACTGTTATTGTTGCTGTTATATTATTATTGACTGTCTGGAAGACCCTGATCTATAAATTGAAGGACTGAATACAGAACATGCATCCAGCAGTCATTTTAAAACCACAGGCATGCATACGTACACTTACATGAGGCAGCCCAGTCTGGTGGATGGAGAGCAGCCTGGAGCCAAGAAGACCCATCTGTGCTGAAGTTCCACCTTGTAAGTAAGGTGAATTTTAGTGTGTGTAAGGAGGATTTTGTTATTCCTTTTCAGATAATAGTTCCAGAATCACATCAGATTACACGCCATCCGGGGGGGAGGGGAGGTAAGAAAAATTTAAAACTCAAAAGTTTATGGAAGTGATTGTTGATAATTCAAAATAAATTAATTAAAAAATAGTTCCAGGATCCTAGGTAGTATTTCCCACGAATTATGGTTGAAAATAACTTCTACCACGCAGGGGTGACATAACGAATGTGTGCATCTGTGCTAGGTCATGGCGATATTGCTAAAGTTAACCTGTGAGCTTAATGTTGGCAATTTGCCTTCTTTGTGTGCTGCCCTATAAAGCAAGTGGGCACTGGTCAGTAAGTGTGGAACCATTTTACGATTTGGGTAACGCATAGAGGAATGCACGTACCTTTCTTGATCAGCCCCCATCAAGGCTTGGGGGGAATCTGTGTTTGCCTCAACCAGCCAGCACTGAGGTTTAGGGGACTGGTAGGAGTCATAGCTGCTACCATTCTCACTGGCCCTTTTGAGAAGAGTGATTAGGAAATGCTGTAGGAGTCGGTGCTGCCATTATCAGCAACCCTCTTTTGAGAAGACTGGACTAGAATAAAGTAAGCTTATTTAACCCCTCCGAAGCTGTCTTCCTGTTTGACCAGATCAAAAGTGAACCTGTGCTAGAATATGTTAGTGTTAGGAGCCCTCCTGTGTTCTCCTGCCCAACAAATGGGGTTACTTGTGTATTTACCTGTGAAACACACCTCTAACACACTCTAGGTAACTCTAAGACCATAAGTTGTAGAGAAGATACTGACCAGCATTGGTATAAAGAATTTCTTCATCTCGGAGTTCTCTGTGCTAGTGAAATCACAGGTCCCATCCATGTTCTTACATATGTGACTTAATATGAGTTTAAATAGTTGCCATGTGTTTGTTGTGGCAACTCCTCTGCATGTCTTACTTTACGTACTTCAAGGCATGTCCTGTGATTTCTAGCCTCTGCTCTTTGTTCACACGATTACTCTTTTGCCTGGAATTTCTTCCCTCCCTCCCTTATCTTGACATCACAAATCTAGAACTGGAAGGGACTGAGAGGTTATGTAGTCTAAACTTCTTACCCACCTATGAGTAAACTGAGGCCCCAAAAGGTTAAGTGACTTACTCCGGGTCACATGAGTAATAAGTACCTATCCTTAAAAGCCTGACTCAAATGTCACATCTTTCAAGAAGCCTATCCTAATTCCCAGAGTATCTTGTTGAAACCTTTTTAGTGTGACAAGGATAAGAATTGTGTGCATTTAAACTTTATATCCATCTCCCCTTTTTACGTAGGGCCTAACACAATGCTCTGTGTGTAGCAAGCATTAATAACTTTAATTTGACTAGATGATCTCTAAAGTCCCTTCCAGTATTCTGTGATTCTGATCTAAATATGTTCCATTCTAGCTCACTGTGGTCACTCAATCAATATTTGTCAATTAAAAAAATCTCAGGCATGAATCCCCAATAAAACAGAAAAGTGATACTTAGAGTCCATAACTTTGTTACAGGGCTCCAGTGGTAGCTAGAGCAGAAGCCATACCCTTGTGGCATACAGATACGACAGGCCCCAAATTGACATTTTCTCTGGATATGAACTATGTCCCACAGAAGAACAATCTTGGGAGATTGGGTTGGACAGGAGAGTGGGTAACTGGGACACTAGAAAGCCCCTGAGCCAGCCAAAATGATGATATTGACAGAAAGCTTGGGGGGGGGGAGCTACGAAGACCTGGGATACCTTAATAGAGGCAAAGGCAGATATTACCTAACAGGAAGGTATACAAACTTTAGCTGTGATGTTTGAGGGGAGCAGATGAGAAAACCCTTGTGCTAATTTTGTTTCTAATACTGTCCAGTGCAAAGGAGATAAGTTGATTGAGTTCCTCCTCCAGTTCAAGCAACAGGTACAGAGACTGATATAGATAAGGCAGCATGGGTCCTAAGAATGTTGGGGAAATCACACTACAGAGATTGTACCCTTGTATATCTGATGTCATCAGTTCTATGCAGACAATATAATTAATTATATAAATAATTATATAAATTAAAAAGCACTGACTTTTGAACTGAAAAGAAGGAAAGGTGTGTGTGTGTGTGTGTGTGTGTGTGTGTGTGTGTGTGTGTGTGTGTGCAGTGCATGTGAAGTTCATAAAATAGTCTTGTACTATACTATGTTTGGGCAGCTAAGTGGTGCAGTGAATAGAGTGTGGGGCCTGGAGTTAGGAAGACTCTTCCTGAGTTCAAATGTGGTCTCAGATACTTACTAGCTCGATATAATCCTGGGCAAGTCCCTTAACCCTGTTTGCCAGTTCCTTTATCTGTAAAATGGGTTGGAGAAAGGAAATGCCAAGAAAACCTCAAATGGGGTCATGAAGAGTTGAAAATGATGATGATGACAGCAACATACTGTGGTACTACACCATAAGGAAAAAAAATCCCCCCTCCCCATTTTCATTTAGTGCAAAAAATCAGATTTCCCTCAGTGTTTTGGTGTCCATTATACCTGCTGAAACTGTTGTACCCTCTTGTACCCCAAGCGTGTGAAGACTTCCCCTGGTAGAATGGGCAGATGAGAACAATTTGTTTCAACAGCCGTGAAGGACACTGAAGCATAGAGCATTTAGAGCTTGGTCAGATGTCAAAGATGCCAAGGTTGTCCACTGCACTTTTGTCTTACCATTGAACTTTGATGACTCTGGAAAAAAGAGTGAGGCTGATGACTTTGTGTAGCTCTGCCTCACTTAAATCTAATTCAAGATATCACCCTGTGATGACATTGGTCTTCCTGGAAAACAAAAGACAAACAACACCTACTGAAACTACAGTAGTTGACTATTGCAGTAGCATTTCAGTTCCCTTTTTTTTTCATTGAAAGTGCTCAAGACAGCAGTTGCAGGACCACGAGTTGGGAAGGAGTGAAGGGGAGGGACGAGGGACTACAGGAATGAAGGTCCTGGGAGCTTGGAGAGGAGGCTGCCACCAGCACCACTGGAGAACAAAAGGGGTGCCCTGGAGATCACCCCTTATACCCGGATCCAGTCATCCTCCATCCTTTCCTGGAGATCCATTTCCCCCTTGGTCCCAGGAACCAAGTAGCTTGAGGAAGCACTTCCAGAGGTTCCTGGAGCAGAAAAACTGTCACCAATATCCTGGGGAAGCTGGAGGAGATCTCCAGTATCAAAAAGTACTACCTGGCTACAAGTTCCATTGTCTTCTTGGCCCTCTATCTCATTTTTGGCTATGCTGCCTCCCTGCTCCGCAATCTCATCAGATTCATCTACCCAGCATATGCCACCATCAAGGCCATTGAAAACACCAACAAAGATGACTATACCATCTGACTAACCTACTGGGTGGTATGTAGCATATTTAGCCCGGTTAAGTTTTTCTCTGACATCTTCCTTTTCTGGTTCCCTTTCTACTATGCAGGGAAGTGTGCCTTCTTGCTTCTAGGGTACATGCTTCTAGTGGCCTGTAATAGCTCCCAGATTCTGTATCATCACCTGATCTGCCCCATCTTCCTGGGGCAGCTTCCATGGACACCTGGTGACTGACCTGAATGGATGAGCCCTGGACGCAGCAGCCAGTTTAACCTGGGAAGCAACCAAGGCAAGCACAACTCACTTCCAGAAGAATAAGTGAAGAGCTCATCCCTCAACCAGAGGCACTGTCTTCCCAGCCCCCTCAGCATCAGGGATCCTGGACCATGTCTAAGCAGCTGACCCCTCCCAGTTGGTCTTCAGTCAACTCCATGCTCTTGGGCTTTAAGGCATTAGAGAAGCCTCCTCAGGCTGGAGGGTAGGTATAGGGGTACCTCTGCCCATTTAGGTTCCACCAGCCTACTAAGGGCCCTGATGGTGCTTAGACTGTTCTAACTTAACCATCTGCCTCTGGCCTTCTCCACCCACCACTGGCTTCCCCACAGGACTCTTGATGTGTCCTGGCTATTCCAGCTGCCCATGTATTTAAAAA